CACTGCACTCTTCTGGACAGAGAGCCCTGATGTTGTTCCTGGGATCTGTTGGAGCCACTCTTCCAGCCCAGGAGCCACAGCCCCAAGTGCTCCTACCACCACTGGGACCACTTTGGCTTTTACTTTCCACATCCTCTCTAGTTCCTCCTTCAGGCCCTGGGATGTCTCCAGCTTCTCATACTCCTTCCTGATGCTGCTGTTACTTGGCGCCACTACATCTATCACCACTGCTGTCTTCTGGTCTTTGTTTACTACCATGATGTCTGGTTGTTTGGCCATTATCTGGAAGTCCCACGGGATCTTAGCCTTGTTATTCTCCATGACCTTCTGTGGAATCTCCCATTAGGACTTGGGAGGGTCTAGCCCATACACTGTGCAGATGTTCCTGTATACAGTGCCAGTTACTTGGTTGTGCCATTCAGTGTCTGCTGGTCCTGCCTGCATCTTACACCCTGCCACTATGTGTTGGATTGTCTCAGAGGCCTCTTTGCACAATCTGCACCTGGGGTCCAGTCTAGTGTGGTAGACCCCTGCACATCCCATGCAGGGGCTTGTCTTGCCATGGTACTTCCTCTGCTTGAACTTCCTCCCATGTCTGCTGCTGCCTCAGGCATTCTCTCAGCAGCTCTTTGGGTGCCATCTTACTGGTGTACTCTTGGATGCTCTGGGTTTCATCCAGGACAGTGGCTTTGACACTCATCAAATCCCACCTGCCCTCTTTCTGGCTGGTGTACAGTCTCTGGGTGTTGGACTTGGGGTGAATGACTGGCAGGGCATTGTGTTGATGGCATGGATCTTTTTCTTCCCATTGAGCTGGCTGTTCAGGGCCTGTCATATGCTTTAGCAGTACTTGGATGTTGCTGACTTCCTTGCCTCCTCCTTATGATTCCCATGTGACTGTGGGATTCCAAAGTACTTGTAGCTGGTCTGTATGTCTGTTATGTGGCCCACTGGTAGCTCCACCTTATCACTCTTAACTACCTTCCCTCTCTTTACTACCATCCGGCCACACTTCTCCAGTCCAAATGACATCCCAGTGTCCTCACTGTAGATCTCTGTCAGGTGGATCAGCGAGTCGACGTCCCATTCACTCGTAGCATACAGCCTGATGTCATCCATGTGGAGGAAGTGGCTGATGGTAGTTCCACTCTTGAACCTGAACGTGTATCTAGTCCTTGTGATTATTAGGCTGAGGGGGTTCAAACCTATGCAGAATAGCAGCAGGGGCAGTGCATCACCTTGGTATATGCCACACTTGATGGCCACTTGTGCAAGCTGTCTTGAGTTGACTTCCAGCATTGTCTCCCACAGTCCCATTGAGTTCTTGAGGAAGGTCCTTAGTGTCCTGCTGATTTTGTATAGCACCAGGCATTCACAGATCCATGTGTGTGGCATTGAACCATAGGCTTTCCTGTAGTCAATCCAGCTGTGCTCAGATTGGTCTTGAGCCTCAGGCAACTGCTTAATCTATGAGCAGTTAGTGTTTTGACCCTCTGGTATTGTTCCCAGTGCCCTTCTAAGCTGTGCTGTTCTGGCCCATATGGTCCTGTTGCTTGGCAGCTCTGAGGCCTGATAGGATTTTCTGTGTTGTGGGGAGCCAGGTTATTGGCTGGTAGTTGGACAGTGCTGTTCCTTGTGGAGATCGTTCATGATTAGCACTATCCTTCCTTGTGTTAGCCAGTCTGGGTGGGAGCCTGCTGCTAGCAGCTGGTCCATCTATGTGGCTAGGCATTCATGCACTGCTGTTAGTTTCTTTAGCCAGGAGGTGTGGATCATGTCCGGCCCAGGTGCTGACCAACTCTTCATGTTCTCAACCACAGAGATTGCTGTGGTCTGCTTTCAGGTCCTGCAGCCACTTTGCACTGGAGTTATGTGTCTTCTCTTTCATATGTTCTTACAGTACTGTTCAGTTTCTGCTGTTGGTGGCTCTGCTGTTACTGTGTTGTGGAACTGCAGTTGGGAGTACACCTTGGATGGTTCTTTGGGGAACAGGGCATTCATCTTCTTGGCCTCTACTTCTCTAGTGTATCTCCTTAGCCTGGTAGCCA